AGAGATATAGGCATAAAGGGAGGGAGATAAAGCATTGTAAGAGACATAATTAAAATTAGGTTAGACAGAGGTAGAGGAAGATGGCTTAGTAGACTGCTATTTTCCTTTACGGACTGCAATAGGAACATTAGGGTCAGAATCCAAAGTAGTTGGATCATTAATAGAATCCAAAGTGGTGGATGTTCAATACTGGGGCTACTTTCTTCTTGCACCTAGAAACCTGCAAGGGTGAAAACCTGTGACAGTGGCATATAAGGAGAGCTATCAACATTAAGGACTAAAAGCACCATTAAATGTAGGAATAAGAAGGTAAAAAGGAGTCCAATCTTCATTGGAACTCTCCCTCTGAAGAGGACAAGATAACTGAACGAAATGAGTGGGCTCAAGGAAGGTAAATTCCTTTTTTTTTATTTGAAAGGTGACATCCTTGGTTAAATAATTCTTACCAAATTGAGGGTCAAAAAAATCTATAACCTCTTGACAAAAGAGGCCGAGACAGCTGCCGGAAATCTCTAAAATAGTCATTCTTTGTTAGGAGGGGGACAAAAGTTTCTTTTGTAGAGGCAGTCAAGAGAGGGGCCAGTGACCTCCCCACTTTCTCGGTCTTGGCAGGGGGTGGAATCTCTGGTCTTGGGCAGTGGAACAGCTATTAACTCTGGAAAGCTATTGGAAGTATTTGTTGTCCATCCCATAAGAGGAGAAGCATAAGAAGAGTAGCTGTCTTAGGTCCACCATCAACCCTATTTGAGCTGGCCACATGCCCATAGGTTCCTTGCCCCTTAGTTGGTTTTTCTTTCTTAAGAGTTGCTGGTTTCAGATGAGGATACAAAATCCAGCAAGTATCTTTAGTGTGTCTCTCTACTCCACAGTGTGAGCATTTCAAATTTTTCTTATGCCCTCCTTCCCCCTCCGCCCCCCTTTTGAGTAGCCAAAGCAAAGGCTCAATGTTCAACCTGTTCCAAGCTTCTCACATGTTGCACCGCTTAGACACTTGTCCAAAGCCAATTTCAAAGTCTGAATTTGGTTGTTCTTCCTTAATTCTGTACTGAATTTCTCTTCTCCTAGACTCGTTCTTTCCGTTCAGATTTCTTCCAATGAAGGACAATCTCTCACAAGGTTGAATAGAGTCGAATTTGTTAAGTCAAAGCAAGAAGTTAGATTGATGAAGGAATTCCCAAATAACGAAATACAAATCAACTACATCTCTCAGCTTATTGAACGATGCCCTCTTTCAGTCCTTCAAGCGATTTCTCCTTTTTCAGTTCGTTGCAAGCTTGAATCGAAAACTGCGTTGCCGATCCCAAGAGGGAAATCATCAGACGAGAAGGGCTTCATATGAAACCCGGTGCTCGGTTTGAGGTTTGAGGTCTCAAAGTTTATCACGGAGAATGGGAATGAGAGGTTGCTCGGCCTGAGGTTTGAGGAGGTAGGTCGATTAGTAAAGAGTTCACTCGGTTCACATGCCTTTTTTAAGTCTCAATATGCTATTACATAATCATATTCATGAATTTGAAATAGGAAACAGAGAAAATACAAATAATGAATGAACAAGAAACACTACTAATAACATTAATAAGGAAATCTCATGAACAAGCAACAGTCCCAGTAGAGACGAGCAGAGGATCGTGTCAAAGATAGGCAGAGCAAATCTGGACCTAGGGACCATTGAAGGCTCCACTGCCAGAGCCATCTCATTCTTCTGCTCCGATGCGGTAGCAGCTGCCACTGAGAGTATCGCCATCACGAGGCAGGCCAGCATCGCAGCCTTGTAGATGCTAACTTGTGCCATTCCTCAAGCAAAAAGTGAACAGAGAAACGTGTTAAAGAGTGAGTTGAGGAGAATTATCCGAATGATATCCATTTACTGCTGTTGATATCTAGTGTACACGCCGCTTCTTTTTTCATGTAGAGCTTTAAGTGGCAGAAAACAGTTGGCTGACGGAATCGTTTCCTAGCGTTAAACCTCAACTGTCCTCTTCATGGGCGCTACTGTCCTCTTTCTTTCCTGGTGCTAAACCTCAATTGATGGAATCATTGCTGCAGCTTGCGTCATCCCCTGTTCCACTGTCCACCAGCAATGAGTATAATCTCCCTGCCTCCACCCTCCTCTGTTCCACCATCCACCAGCAACGGTTGCATCGCTGGTACATACAGAATCCCTTTCTCTGGACCTGTAGTCACTCTTTCTGTCTATCTCTCTATGTCCTCCATTTTCCTATTTCATTTTGAAAATTTGAAAGAGAATAATGGGTAAAATAGTCTTTTTCATCTTTCGTTAATGACATTAATGGCAAGGAGGTTTTAGATAATTGTCCAAAAACTTACAGGTACTAACAGTAGGGGTAGAGTTAGTCAATTAGCTAAACCATAAGAGTAGTTTAAGAAATTTATGATAGTTTTATTAATCAAATTAACAAAATAAGGGTAATAAACAAAAATCATTTTTAGTGATGATGATAATGAAATACATAATCTAAAACTAACCAAAGATGAAATTATTTTACTTTTTGGTGAAGATTAATATTCTACTTTTGGGTCAAATGTGTTGCCCTTTAATGTCATAATTAAATAATAAAAATTAATAAAAGATAAAAACACAAAAAATACATAAATATTGCAAAAAAAAATGAGCACATGTACAATATCGTATATTTACATATTAAACAAAAAAGTAAGTGTGACATATCAGAATTATTTTTATGCATATAGAAATATAAAAAATTCAACACATCCATAATTCATATTTTGCAATCTGCATTTGATTAATAATTAAATTGAGTTCAGATTTGACTTTGTCGATCCCAAATCAAAATCTGAATCCGATTATATTGTAATATTTATTGGTTTTAATATATAAAAGTTATATAATTATAAAAATATATTTTTATAAATTATATTATATATGAATTTATATATAATAAATTCAATATGTTATATTTATATTAATTTATTATATATAAAAGTTGAAAAGCAATTAACTTTTTATTTTTTATTTTGTAAATGAATGCACAGTCAAATTAAAACCAAATCCGATTGGATTTTGGATTGAATTCAAATGCAAGCTTTCAGTAGTTGTATCTGATTTGGATTTTGCTCAATCTGATCCAAATCCAATTCGTTTGTTGCTGCCCTACAAGTAGGGGTCTCTCTTATATACAACATTGATTCAAAAGTCCAACCTTTTAGGATACAATATGAGTAGGTTTAGTGAAAGGTCGAGAGTTGTAAAGAAAAATGACAAAAGAATATTGTTTGCAAGTTTCCTAATTTTATCTATGCAATAACTTAAACTTCAAGATGTCGATGGCTCATCGTCATTCAATGCCTCCACCATCACTTTTGCATTGGAAACAACTATTAACTGATGCCATCCTCTTTGATAAGTAAATGACAAAGCTTTAAAATTTGTTATAAGTTTTGCCTCAATTGGCTCTTTAACCAAACCCTACTTTAATAACTTAAGCAACAAAATTAAAAAGCTATTATAAATACAAAATCTAAAAGGCCCCTTCTTGTCATTGATAAAACCCTGCATTACATATAATATAAAAACACTATGGTATGGCAAAGATGTGGAAGGTTTAACATGTTATACACAACTGTCACTATTGGCATTAATATCAAGATTCTATATATTCATTATTTCATTAATTTTTCTTAGAACCCAATGGGCATTTCTTTTAATATCTTTAAAACGTGTCATTTCCATTTTTCATATGAGATATTAAATATTGTTATCTCACTATTTAAGGTATTTTTCTCATAAATAAATTCTATTAATTAGATCTATATCCAATACTTTTAATAATATAAAACACATTTAAAAAATGATCCAAAAACAAAACCTTATTTTGTCCAAGTGTCAAGTAAGCAATTCAACCATACAAGTCAAATGGGTCAACCCATGATGTCATAATTAAATAATAAAAATATATAAAACAAAAAAATACATAAATTTTATAAAAAAAATTTTAAATACACTATTATTACCATTATCATCATCGAAAATTATAACATGAAAAGCACATGCACACTTACTAGTATCTAGAAAATTCTCTTGTTGATAAAAAAAAGAAAAAAGAAAAAAAGAAGAAAGTTCCCTAACACTTTTCTTGGCATTACTAATAATGTCCAACTTCCATCAAATGACAAACAAAAATGTAAAATAATCACTTTACCCACCATTCATATTATATTCTTTAGACATATTTTCATAAATACCCCTGAATAATGGATATTCCACAAATGAACAAAATGCCAACAACCTTCAAATGAGGGACCAAAATTGCATGGGCATGAGGGTAGATTAATCTTAGGTATTGGTGCATTAGATGGATCATCATGATCAACATTTAAATCTTCGCAAATATTAGACAATCCAATTTTAATATTTGGATTTTGGCATAGCAATGGACAGCTAGATGAATGTGCTTCCTTGCTTACTTTGATAACATGAGTTTGACTTGGAACAAACTGATTGACAAAAAGTAGATCTAATTGGATAAGTTAATAACCCTACAGTTTGAAGGTCTATAGTTTGTAAAACATCCTGTTCTTTTTGGGTGGGGAGGAGAGAGATGGTTAGCATGTATCAAAGGTATTTTGGTTACATTAACATTACAAAATATGACATAAGGGCCATTTTGGTTAGCATGTATCAGGGCCATTTTTGTCATTTAACAGTTATTTTTATGAGACTAGAAGAAAACATGACCAATGACTGCAAATTTTAGAACAATATCAAATTATCAACATAAGTTGGAAGGTTTTAGATAATTTCCCTAATAATTATCATCGTTCAGTGGGCATTTACACAATAAGAAACCATCCTGACAATGAGCACTGATGGTGATGGTTATTATTATTGAGATAAAAACAGTGGTTTTTTTTTGTCCAATTCCTTGGAAATTCACTGCAATTTTTTCTTTGATCAGAAAGTTCATTGCAATTACACATTCCATGTCCTAGATAGAGATGCCTACATTGTTTTACTATTCCAGGTTCTAGAAGCGCACTTTTTGCTGCCACTGATCCCCAGGTCCCCGAGTACTGTGGGGTGTTGAAGGCTGATGAGTGGCCTGTTTGTGCTTGCATATCTCATGATTGCCGTCCAATGAATGCTTCTGAAGAAGCGCACAACTTGGAAACTTCTTACAAAGTATGGGAGAAAACTTTGGAAATGATCGGGCTTCCTTCAGATGCCGTGGATAAGCTATTAGAAGGTGATGTAGTTGAGTGCCGATATGGGGCAAAAAGAGAATAAGACTTCACTGACACGGATGCTGCAAACAGTTACATACACAGCCGACAGCTTTACATTCTTTTGAGTAACGAGTTTTTCACTGTCTGACTGTCTCAAATTGTAACCATTCACTTTCATTTCTAATATCATTGCTTGATTTGATTATTAGTCTTAATAAGAATGCTGATTCGGAGACTTTGGAAGAGACCAGTCCAAAAAGCAGAGAATTTCTAAACAATCAATGTCTTAGATTTTCATCCAACATCCCTCATAAGCAGCCTCTTGTAGGTCCTTCCATAAAACCAAACCCCATGAATAACCTCTTCAAGCCAAGGTTCAAAGTATCAAAATACTTGCTTGATGCCCAAATTTTCAGAATGAGACATGTAAAGCACACCTGTTTTTTGTACTTTTCTGTCTGATATTTCAGGAATGATATTATGAATGTTTCTATTGCATATTGTACATACATTGTAATACTTTGAACCTTGATTTATGCATCCCATATTAATAAAGAAAAAAAAAAGGCAAGCTATTAAGCCATAAAAGAGACCATATAGCCAGCCTATTGGCTATCAAGGTTCAAAATTTAAATGTCGCAAATCATATTAATAATGGCGATATACGTGTATATGGTTTAAATATATGGATACGCTTGAATACAACATGAAAATTCTTACAAATTTGACAAATACATTAATAACACTTGAGTTGTATAAAGTTTCAAAATATTTCATGACATCGATGCATATGTATTAGTTTCAAATTCTTACAAATTTGCATTTCTGCACATCGATGCCTTGAACCATAATCAATCTAAAAAATATATTATATTCATGAGAATATAGGTGGTCCAAGATACAATCAGTATGCAACTATTATATTTTAATTATTAAACCAATTTTTGTTATTATTTATACTTTTATATATAAACAAAAAATATGTGAACTTCATCTGGCATTCTTAATATGCTAGTCAAATACTGTAAACTTCTTAAAAATTACTAATTTACATTAAGTTAATTTTGTAAATAATTCTTTTATTTCTGTAAATAATAAATATATTGTTATTTATTGTAAATTAAAATATTAATTAATAATTTATAGAAATATATAATGTTAATTTATAAGATACATATCATATGCAAAGTCATCAATTTTAATTACTAAAGTCATTATTTTATTTTTAGTATTTTATTTCTGTAAATCCAAAAATATTAAAAACCATTTTTAGAGATTAATGGATTTCATGTATCATCTATTTCATTTATATTTACAAAATATTGGTTTTAGTGTTTTATTAAATTTGTTGGTTGATCATTAATATATGACACCATCTATTTGAGTTGCATGTTGCCAACAAGTTAAATAAAACCTATGTTATTTTAGTTAATTGCATAACATTGGAGGATGACCTAGTGGTGATTGGCCATAGCTTTGATACCTTTGATTTGAAAAAGAAGGGTTTAAGTATCATTAATGGCCAATACCAACGGATGTTTTAATATCAAACCATTCCACCCTTGCCTTGTGTTTATCCTATCAGACAAGGTTCAAAGTATCGACACAAGCCGATATGCTGGTAGAGCGTATCGGCCTGTACTAGTACTTTTTTTAATTTTTATTTATTTTTTCTGAAACCGGTTTAGAGGGGTTGGTTTAAGGCCTGGCTACCCTTTGAACCGGTGGTTAGTAAGCCATCGTCACGATACATATCAATACTTTGAACCTTGCTGTCAGATATCATGTTAGTACCATATTTTATATATACATCTTTAATTGTGTTTAATTGTTTTCCTTATATATTTTGTGTCAAAAGTGGAAAGAAAGCAGATCTTTTTTTTTTTTTTTGACAAGTAAGAAGGATAAATTTCATTAATAAAAACTAGTCCAGTTACAAGCTTCACGTGGAGAGGCACGAGTTGCATCCTCTCCTAATAGTAGGAAGAAAGACAAAAGATAGAAAACAAATTCAGTCTACAATTGAGCCCAATACAAACTTTCCCCATTAACCCCTTGCTTTGCAAGATCATCAACCATAGAATTTGTTGATCTCCCCACCCATTGTATTCTCACTGTCAGGCTACTTGTTAGGCAGTTGAATTTTTTAATTTCGTTCTTAAAACACCACACTATAGATTTCGGATTTTGTAGCTAGTCCACTACCACCTTGGAGTCCCCTTCTATTAGCAGTTGTTCCACACCTATCTGCATTGCTAACTGTACTCCCTGGATAGCGACAGCAAATTCTGCCCTAGTAGAGTTTCCAACTCCTATGGGTACCACACTCCCACTCTTCCTCAGTACCCCTCCCATCCCTAACGGGCCAGGATTATCAAGACTACTTTCGTCGAAAATCAGCTTCAAGAATCTTTTAGGAGGGGGTTCCCAAGCCATACTCACTTTAGTCTCTATGGATGAACAGTCAGCCACTGCTAACCAATTCCTCCAAACATCATTAAATGAGAATTGATGGAATAGGTCCAATGATTTTAGTCACAAGAACACCTTATTTAGAATGCAGTCCTTCATCTCTTCTGGGCTTCTTTCCTCTTGGAAAATTCTAGTATTCCTTTCTTCCCACATAGACCAAATCAGCGTTGCTCTTGCACACCTCCACATAATTCTTCCTTTTCTATGCCGCCAAGGGAAGAAAGAAAGATCAAAAAATCAAACTTGCATCTGTTGGCCTAACCAACCTGCACCCAAACAATGAGAAGAGTCACTCCCATAACTCTACAGTAAATGAACAAGATATTAGTATATGGATGCAGTCCTCACCATGTGACCTRTAAAGAATACACCAGGAAGGTGAGAAATAGAGAAAAGGTCTTCTCTTTTATAGAATGTCAAAAGTGTTTATTTTCCCATAATACACTTCCCAGCAAAAAGCCATAACGTTAGGGGGGACAGGCTTGCACCAAATTTTGTTAAAAGGGAAAGGGTGGTTGGGGGTAGATTGAGTAATGGATTTAAAGAAAGAAGTGCATGAAAAGGATCCACTCCGCTGGGGTGTCCAAATCTGATTATCAGGTTCAAAAGGGTCCAAACATATTGTATCAAGTAGACTTAGCAGATTTGTGAGAGACACAATTTCCTCTTCCCTTAAACCTCTATGAAACCCAAAGTCCCAATCTGGTGTTAATGGATCATTCATAATGGAAAAAAAAAAAACTTTGACACAAAATGCTTTTTATACCTTGAAATAGAGAACGAAGAAGGGAAAAGGTCCTTCAATGGAGCCTCTCTAACCCAAGTATACTTCCAAAATAGGACTGAGTTATTGCAAACATCATACCTAAGAAAACTGAGAAACTGAGGAAGAATGCCATGAATAACTTTCCAAGGTGCTGCCAAGGTTGCCTGACATGATACTCTAGCATCCCATCCATTTTTTGAGCGACCATGAATACTACCCACCACCTCATGCCAAAGTTTCTCTCTCTCCACTAGCCACCTCCACAGCCACTTCCACAATAGTGATTTATTTTTTTAATCAAATTCCCTAATCCCAATCCCCCTTCATCTTTATTCCAGCATACCACTCCCATTTTATCAAGTCATCCTTCTTACTTTCCCCCGACTCCCAAAGAAAATCTCTTATCAACTTCTCTAGCTTCTTAGCTTCCCTAGGTGGTATCCTAAACATAGACAGGAAATAGGTTGGTAAGTTAGCAAGTGTGGCTCTTATAAATGTGATTCTACCTCCCAAGGATAAGTAGTTTTTCTCCATGATGTTAACTTCTTTTGGAACCTTTCTACCACTAGACACCAAAAGCTACTCTCCCTAGGGTTAGCCCTTAGCGGAAGCCCCAAGTAGGTCATAGGCCAAGACGAGATAGAACATCCTAAGCTTCTTGCTATAAACTCCACCTCCCTATCCTCTAAGTTAACACCAGCTACACAACTCTTTTCAAAATTAACACTCAAATTTGACAATCTCTCAAAACTTCTAACTAGATCCTCGAGATTTTTCACTTTCTCAATATCATCCCCATCATAGAAAATCAAAATATCATCTGCAAATTGGAGATGGGTGACCGGAGTACCATCCCTACCTATTCTCCACCCTTTAATTACAGCTTCTCTATCATCCTTTAAGATCATTATACTAAGCACCTTTGCTATTAGAGTGAAGAGGAATGGTGATAGAGGGTTCCCTTGTCTAATACCTCTACGGGTTGGGAAGAAGTCCTTCACCACTCCATTAACCAAGATAGAGTAATGGCAAGAATTAATACATCCAAAAATCCAATGACACCATTTAGTCCCAAATCCAAAATTTCTCAAAACTTGTACCAAAAAATGTTAGTCCACCAAATCATATGCCTTTTCTAAATCCAACTTACAAACAAAATCGTTTCTTTTAGATCTTCCATGCACTCATTAGCAATTAGGATCTGATCTGCTATTTGTCTCCCTTATACAAAGGCTCCTTGGGCTTATCTTATTAGGGATGGGAGAACTTCTTTAAGCATCAAAGACAACACCTTAGCCAAAATTTTATAAATGCTAGTTGCCAAACTAATTAGCCTTAAATCCTTAGGTTCGTTAGCATCTTATTTCTTATGGACTAAGGCCTAAAAAGTGGCATTGACTCCCAGACTTACTATATGATTCTCTATAAATTCCTCAACAGCATCACATAAATCCTCTTTCAAAATGTCCCAACAATCTTGGTAGAAAGCCATAGTAAATCCATCAGGACCTAGCGCCTTAGATCTAGCCATCATAAACACTGCCCTTCTGATCTCCTCTTCTTCAATATTCCTTTCTAACCACCTTGTTTTTTTCCCTTCTAATTTCAACCATTCCAATCCTTCCAAAGGGACCCTCTCATTCAAAGTCCTATTAAAAATGGATTTAAAATGATCTACAAAGGTCCTAGCTATATCCTCTTGATTGGTAATTACTTGCCCTTCTAGCTCTAGTCTAGCCACTAAGTTCTTCCTCCTACCATTTGCCAACTCATGAAAGAACTTAGTATTCCCATCCCCCTCTTTAATCCACTTGTGCCTCGACTTCTTCCTCCAGCAAATCTCTTCTCTGAGTAAAACCTCTTCTAGGTCCTTCTTCAATTGCCTTCTTGATTCTCTATCCTGCTCACTCAGCAACCCTTGGGCTTCCCTCTCATCCATTTTTTCAATTTGTGTGAATAGACTCAACTTTTGTTCATCTACCCTACCAAAGTGATCTTTATTCCACTCCTTCAATTCGACTCTCAGTCCCTTTAGCTTCTGATGAAATTTGATTCATTTCCACTTTATTCCCCTTAACTCCTTGTTCCAACAGTCCTTCACTATGCTTTCAAAACCCGGATGAGTTAACCACATATTCTCAAACCTAAATGGTTTAGGTCCACTTATTAGGGATTTCACACCGGTCTTGATGGGACAATGGTCTAATGTGACCCTAAGAAAAGCTCTAGAGACCACATTTCCCCAATAGTTTTCCCATTCTAGGTCAAA